ATTACTAGACTTAAGATAAACTTACTAGGAGTATTAAGATTATTTTGATGGGAGTACATTAATAAATGGCTACCCAGAGCTGTGATGGTGAGCCGGGATCCCCAGGGACGCTCACTTTTCCTCCACCCGGCCCCACGGGGAGGCACAAGCCTCATCCCCGGCCAGCACGGCCGGAAGAGCCCGCGGCAACGCACCGGCTTTGCAAAGCGAAAGGAAAACCGGGGAGAATGCGGAGCGGCCTTTGTTGGAGCCGGCACCCCCCGCACGCCCACCCCTGCCCCGCACCCCGCGGCACGGCCCGGCACAGGTGTCACACAGCACCGCCCAGCGCACGCGCCGGCCCCTCCCACCGCGGGGTGCAGCCGCAGGGCATTCGCACCGGCCCGGGCTGCCCCCGCGGGACCGGGAGGGGAGGCTGGCCCTGGCAAGGGCCGGGCTCCGCCGGACTGCCCCAGAACTGTTTCTCAAATATTCTGATTGTCTTCCTTTTCCACAGAATAATAACAAATATCAGGAAACCTTTAAAGTGCCCATAAGACAGCATTGTCATTCCTTGCCCTGCTTTCTTTATATTATTATTACTAAACAACAAGGGGTTTATATTCTTTTGATTATTTTAATAGGGTTTTTTTTCCAGAGAAGCATTGCAGCTTGTTTCCAATTTATATGCTTGAGAAAGGCATGGAATACATATTACATAAACATACTCAGCTTTTTTCCGTCTTTTTTTTCTTGTAGTACTACATTTTTAAATCTTTCCCTTGCTTCTCTAAAAGAAATTGGAGGATAGTTTAAACTGCCTAGTAGTTGTCTATATTTTCATTTCACATATTATATGCCACATTATTAACTGTAGTACTTGCCAGCAGACAAATATGATCTTAAAGAAAACACCACAGGAACTGGAATTACTTTTCATCCATACTGACAGTTCTTAAAAGCAGTCAGGTCCTACAGCAGTAATTGAGTATGTCGTATTGAGAAGTCACATTCAGTGAATTTTTGGGCAGGGTTAGAATTTTTCACAGTCTTCAATGTATAGCAGTTGCATATTGTTCTTAAAACTGTTTTTTACAAATATCAATGAATAAAAAATTAATTTCCCTACACAAAATTTAATAAATAAAATTAAAAGCTCATTCTAGCTTGTTCTCTGCAAAATTTCACTTCAAAGTGCAGCCACTACATGATAAACAATGTTTTCTTGGATCAACAAGTTTTATCTCCTACAATCATAAATACACTTCCCATGAGCAGCAGAGAGTGCAACAACAAAATAACTACAGCAAGACTACACAGCCAGTAGACTTGGTCTTCATCTGAACCAGTCACTTTCCCAGACTACACTGAGGTGTCAAGGTACATGATATTTTCCATATTCCTGAATGCCTTCTAGAATTTTTTGCCTTTCTTCCAATCTGAAATCAACTGCAGCATGCTGGCAAGCCTAAAGGAGCTGCACTCAGTGTGGGACTTCACTGCTCAGCAAGAGATCAAAAAAAAATAAATCCAGTCATTAATACAAGATGATGTAAATCAGAAAAAAAAAAAATCCAAGCCATATAAAGTCTGCTAAATCCATCAGCTTTCACAGAATTTGTTTCAGATTCCTAACATTCCATTTCAGTGCCCAATGATATATTTTTTGCCACCGCGGTGAGAAAGACTAATTCTAAAAGCATTTAACCATACTAAAGGAAACCTTAATCCAACTTTCAATTATCATCAATTTGGATTTTGCCTCAGAAATCTTTTATCTGTTGTGTGCATTCATTAGAATGAAATACATCTTTACCACATAATTGCCTTCAACTCACATATTTACAAACAACACAGTTTAAAAAAAGGTCACTTCACTTGTACTTTCACAAAGCTATAATCTGGTATCAAATAAAGAGACCATGGCCATGTACGTGTCTGAATGTGCACCCCGTATCTCTATGCAATGACCTCAGTAACGAAAGGAGGGCCACCAAACAACTTGGTACACAAGACAAAGGGATTGGGTGAGCTCTGATGTTGTCAATTAGGTGGTGGAAAACAGCAACTGCTACTCAAGCTCCTGAAGAATAACCAAATCCAGTGGCACTATAAACATGGCATTTCAGGATGGAGGGAAGTCATTGTGTTTTCTAGTGTTCTCAACATCCTTGTAGCATACTGCCTCAGTGGACAGCACGTCCTCTATTTATACTATATTTGACTGCAATTACACTCACAGGTTTACTAGAGAGAAGTCAAAAGGGAAATGCCACAGATTCTACCCAGGCAGTATTGCATCTTTGTCCTTGCACATTCTGGAGATCTAACAGCAAATAGCATATAACATATAAGACTTTTTTTTAAGATGCATCTTTACTCCCTGGAACAGTCCCCACTGCATAAGCAATATTTTAATACTGACCACCACCTAAGCATTGTCAGCACAAGGAATCACTCTTCCCTCTTTCCAGAATAAAACAGCATGTCATTAGCTAAATAACTGCATTTTCAAATAAACCAGTAAAACTATTCAGAACACAGGTTCAAGTGAGATTTTTCTGCAGTCAATAAAGAGCAGACAGCAAGCTCAGTTTTGCTAAGGGGCGACTGTAAAGAAGGGCAAAATCCCCGTAAGATGGAGGTCACTAGCTTCCGTCAGCCCAGCCATGTACAAACCTGAACACAAGGGATAAGGCCTTGTACTTCAAAAATCTTCTACTAACATTTAAAAGAGAGATTGAAATTGAATGCGGCATTAATAAGACCAAACAGTTCATACTATTAAAAACTGCTTAGTCACATAACCTTTGAATTCTTCCCTGCTGGGTACCAGCTTTGCTCTTAGAAGTTACCTCAAAAGTTTCAGGAAAATTCTATGAAAATTTTAAGCACCTGAAATGACAACTTTAAAAAAAGAATCAACAGAGCTCTACAATACTGCCAATCCCAAACATTTAAAACACATGAATAACCTTAAATCGTGCTTTTATTTTGTACTTCTTGGCCTGCCCTGACTTCCAACCACCTCTTAGTTATGTACTTTTACTGCCACCACCACACCACCAGAGAGAGGGCTTTGCATTATACCATAGGCACTCCTACAGCTTCCCTTCATGTTGCAGTGGTTCTCTTTCCACATCTAAACCATTCTTCCCTCCCTGTAAGTGTGCACGTTTCCCATCTAACCTGTGGCCTGTGGTGAATTCCATCTGTTCTCCTGGGTGAGGTCTGTTCCCTCATTTTCTTGCATGGCAGCTTTGCAGAGCATTCTTTCTTCTGAGGCAGCCGTTCCACAAGAGGGAGAAGCTAAAAGGCCCTTGTTAGAAGTAGAACAGTTTGAAAAAGACTGCCACCGAAGTAAATTCTGAACTATGGCCAGGAGCCATTAAATGCTTCCTGACAGAAACCAGGCTGTGGAGAGGAGGCCATACTGGAATACGCACTCCTGACAGGAACCACTCTGCAGTCCACGCTCAAATACGTGCTCCTAACAAGAACCGCTCTGCGGAGAGAAGCCCACACTGGAGCACACACTCCTGACAGGAATCAGAGCCCATGGAGAGGTGCCCACGCTGGATACATGCTCCTGACAGGAACGAGACTGTGGAGAAGAGCCCACACCAGAATACATGCTCCACGTGCCTGTGGAGAAGAGTCCAGGCTAGAATATGCACTCCTGACAGAAATCATGGCCCGCAGAGAAGAGTGCAGGCTGGAAACTGCACTCCTGACAGGAATCATGGCCCGCAGAGAAGAGTGCAGGCTGGAATATGCACTCCTGACAGGAATCATGGCCTGCAGAGAAGAGTCCAGGCTGGAAACTGCACTCCTGGCAGAAATCATAGAATCATAGATGGCCTGTGGAGAAGAGTCCAGGCTGGAATATGCACTCCTGGCAGGAACCACAGCACACAGAGAAGCCCAAGCCAGAGCAGGGGGGATGTGTGAGGAGGAAGAGGCAGAGAAGAGCTGGTATGCCCTGACTGGACCCCCATGCCCCCAGAAAGGAAAGGGAAGGCCAAGGAGTCACGAGAAGGGGAGGACTGAAACTGAGCCTGGCAGATAGGAGTAGGGAACAAACACTGAAGAAATTTTTTGAAACGCTTTTATTTATATATTGCAAACACATAGGTACCTCATGTGCTTTAATGTTATTCACCCCGATTTTGTGATAGTAAGGCTGTAATTCATAGGCATACTTCTTAATTTTTCATATCCTTGCCCAAAATAGCCAGGTCTAACAAAAAAAACCCCAAAACAAAACCACAACCCAAACAACAATACATCATCCCCCCCCAAAAAAAAAATCAGGGTGCTGAGCACGTGGCTATTCAGACAACAGCAACTCCTATTTAAGCAATTATTGTCTTCAGCTGCTACCTCTTCCACACATTTATTTTCAGACGTTACTGTCACTTCACATCTTCCAGTTTTACTGTTCATATGACCACTGAAGTTAGCTTCCATCAAATTACTAGACTTAAGATAAACTTACTAGGAGTATTAAGATTATTTTGATGGGAGTACATTAATAAATGGCTACCCAGAGCTGTGATGGTGAGCCGGGATCCCCAGGGACGCTCACTTTTCCTCCACCCGGCCCCACGGGGAGGCACAAGCCTCATCCCCGGCCAGCACGGCCGGAAGAGCCCGCGGCAACGCACCGGCTTTGCAAAGCGAAAGGAAAACCGGGGAGAATGCGGAGCGGCCTTTGTTGGAGCCGGCACCCCCCGCACGCCCACCCCTGCCCCGCACCCCGCGGCACGGCCCGGCACAGGTGTCACACAGCACCGCCCAGCGCACGCGCCGGCCCCTCCCACCGCGGGGTGCAGCCGCAGGGCATTCGCACCGGCCCGGGCTGCCCCCGCGGGACCGGGAGGGGAGGCTGGCCCTGGCAAGGGCCGGGCTCCGCCGGACTGCCCCAGACGGCCGTGCCGGCCCCGCGCCTCCGCGCCGAGCCTCGGAGCGGCCCAGGTAGCCCCGCCCCGCCGCCGCCCGGCCCCGCCCCACCGGGGGGATGGAGGCGGTGGCGGCCGGCCCGCTGCTGGCAAGAGGAAGCGGGGAAACGCACTGGGGCGGCGGCGGGCGGGGTCACGAACTCTGACCTTTCACGGGGGCACGGCACAAAAAAACAAAACATCCCCCCCCGCGCGGCCCCTAACACAGACCCGGCCCCCCGCCCCGGTACCCCCCGCCGCCACCCTCACGGGGGGAGGGAGGGCCGCCGCCGGGCATTACCGCCCCGCCGGGCCCAGGTCAGGGTCACCGCCAGGGCACGTTTGGCGCCAATTCCTGAGGTAAAATATGTTTTTTAAAATTGAGGCGGCTCAGCTGGGTGTCTTTCGCAGGAAGAGGGAGGGGGCGCGGGGAGGTGGCAGCGGGGCCCCGCTCGGGACACCCCCGCCAGTGGCGAAGGGGAGGGGTAACGCTAGGTTGAAGGGGAGGGGGCTCCGGTGTTCTGCGGGTAAGCGGGAGCTGGCCGTGCCGCCGGTGGGCCCGCGGCCGCCGGGGAGGGAGAGGACCGTTGCGAGGCGCTGGGTCGGTCCGGTGCGGGAGTGCCGTGACGGAGCCGCCGGGCTGGAACGTGGCCGCCTAAGGTCTCGGTGAGAGCTGTCTGTCGTCCCGGGGGGTCGCAGGGGCGATGGTGGCGGCGGTGAGGCGCTCGGGATGCGGACACAGAGAGAGAAGATGGAGTCTGAGCGGGCGGAGGCGGCGGCTTGAACCCGACCCTTTTACCTTTGCCACCGGGAGGGCGGAGGGGAGGGGGCGGCGGGTACTTTGCATACGGGGCTGAGACCGCCGCCATCTTACCGGCCGCTTCCCCACGGCCGTGCCTGGGCCGCTCACGGCCTAACATAGGGATACCCCGAAGGGGAGGGGGAAAGGGCCTAATGGCGGCGGCGGCGGCCCCGCCTGGGACTTGGCCGCCAGCCAGCGCCGCCATCTTGTGCTTGGTCCCGTCCCTCGGGTGTTTTCCCTCTCGCTCGGGAGGCGGGGCCGCCGCCCTTACAGGCGGATCCCTCCACCAATCGGTAGCGTGTGCGGGAACGCTGCGTCCGCAATGAAGTCATTGGTCGGGAGGGGCGTGGTTTGGTGTCGCGCGGGGGTCCTGTCTGGCGGCGGGCGCGCGCCCCGCAGCCAATGGGGACGGGCGGCGGGAAGGGGGTGGTGGAGCCCGGCCGGGCCCGCAGCGCTTTCTGCGCGGCCGCGTCGGAGCGTGCGCGGTTCCTGCCGGCGCCCTGCCGCGGGGCAGCGACGCAGAGCTTCCCGGCAGAGCCTAGTCGGCGAATGTCGCCTTTCCTGTCTCCGCCGGGCTCCTGCTGAGGAGGGTCCTGCTGGCTTGCTGCTCGGCGTAGCCGAGTCAAGCACGCAGTGTGAGGAGCCGTTAACCTAAGACAAAGAACAGATTTCAGTAAGCGTGAATTCGGCCTCTTGCCATGCCTTCCTTGTAAGGCCGTGCCCCCAGAATATCTCTAATGGAGTGTGTGATTTTCTTCTGAGATTTCTGTGCGCCTTGGGGAGAGATGGATGGGTTTACATCACGTTTTGGACAGCAGTGCATCTGCACCTGCTGCTACCCGATGACACTGAAATGTTTTCCTGGTGCTCTAGGTGCCTCCATGCAGTTTTTAAGTTCCACCTTTCCTGTTGGTTGGTTTGGAGGAATTTTTCCTTACAATCTCTGGGATTTTGCTAGGATGCGGATTTTGCCTTCTGCCTCATTCTGGGAGTCAGAATCATCAACAATCTTATTTGGCATGTCTGTGTTTGGTCTCTTGCCTCCAATTGGATTTGATCAGATAGCGTCAGTTTATTGCTGTTTTGGGAGGGTCGAAAGCACAAGAAAATTTTGGTGGAGAACACCACCACCGGCAAATCTGCAAGAGCCTTCCCACAGCAAAAGCTTCATTGGCTCTTAGGAAGGGATTCTTAGGAACTTAATACCTCATCTTCAAGGCCTCCTTCATCTTAAAGTACTGAGAAAACAGCATGTTATCATCATATGGTTATCTCCCTTGTCAAACATAAAAAAAATAACAGAAAACACTGAAAAGGAATCGCTGAACAACTGAGAAACCATCTACAAGCTTTGATAGTAAATGGGTCTGGTGAAAGTTGTTCATAAGCTTACTGTGAAAGTTGAATACTTGAATAAAAATGGTAAGCTGTATGAGAAACTAGCATAAATACGACTTCCATAGGGAGTGTCTCAACGTTAATTATGCATTGTTCCTAATAGTTTTCCATTGACGTACAAAATCATTTTCACGTTGGCCACAACACGATTTAATCGTTTTAACTGAATGAGTGTTGACATTTTCAACAACATTAGCATTGTAGAAGTTGCATTGGAATTGAGGGTTGGTGACATGCATGCTTTTTTCTGTTACATGTTTTGCTATTGTTTGTAGTATTTTGTAATATTATGTTAAATGATTGCTTTGCAAGGACCAACAGAAGGTTTTCAATGAAACATCCAATGGGCCAGCATTCAGGAATGGCTTCTTGTTACCAACACTTGGGTCATAATCTGAAGTCTGGATCTGTAATGAGCAAGTCACAATTAAAAACTGAATACATGAATTTGAAAGCTTAATTAAATATTTCCTCGGAGAAACACAGCCCTAATAATGATCATTAAAAATACATTGGAAGTGGATTTTTTTTCCTTGTTTCTTCCTTTTTTTGCTCACTTTATCTTTTTTAGTTATTGTTTTAACCCCTAAAGGCCGTAAAGTTGAAGGTACAGACACTCACAATAGGATAAAGCAATTCTGCAGTATTTCTTCTTCAGTGATAATATTATCACATAATAATAATAATAATAATAAAGAAATAGGTTTGATAATAGGAAATACATTTTAGATGTGACAGTTTATTTCCCTGTAAGAATATGGAAGAACATGGCAGTTTGACAGAATGACTCAATAAAAATTTGCTCAAAAAAGTGTTATGTTGCTGTTTCCTTGTGCAGCACGGAGTGTGGCAGCAGTTTAACTGTAAGGTTTCTCCTTCATTGTGTTGGGGAAAGCATCTTAGAGATCTGTGAACTCCACAAACTGCATCAGCAGTTGACACTCAAATTAATCCTTTCTAATTTATGAAGTCAACATCTCTTCTTTGCTTAAATAATAGAGTAAAAATAGTGTATTAGAGGCTTTTTAAAGTAAAAGAATAACTATGTGCCTCAGCTTTTCGAACAGCACGGTTCCAATATGCATGTACTGTACCCATGTGTGTATATATGTGCACATGCATCCCTGGCATATTTTCTTATTTGTCAGATATGTCAAACAGTATTGTAAATTATCAGTTATTAAAAAGTCATATCAGAGCTTTCTTTAATAAGAAAAAACGTAACTTTTGTGCCTGATGGAAGTTGCTGGCATCTTTTCAAACAGGTTCTCTAATGATCTTGTTTCACCATGGCAACCAATGTGGAGGTGCTGGCTCAGCAGGTAGTGGAGACTCAGCAGGTGGCTGAGGTGAGTGACAGATGATATCACAACAGTTGGTATGTGAGCTTTTGAAATGAAAAACATATTAGGGAATCTTTGCTGTTTACAGTTAAGCATAAATGGAACAGAAAGTCGTGACAGAAGAGTATTGCTTTACACTTGAGGACAAACAAGAAACCAGTGCAACCAATATGTGGTTTTCTTCATTCTGGTGGCCTCCATGTTAGGAATGCAAGTAGGAAATTCAACATGAACTACAGAGAAACTTGGGTGTGTTATGGATTGTTTTAAAAATTAATACAACAAAAATTCTGGTCATTTGATCATTAGGTTTCCATTTTGGACATGAAAGGTTTCTGCTCATCTATTGAGTTGTCATCTAAATCCAGAACCATGAAGTTACCTATTTTACTTATGCACTATATTGAATTTACAGTAGGGTGATTAATTGAGGCTTTATACCTTCTGCCTACACATATATGAAATTGAGCATAAAATCTACTTAAAGAGATATTAAGTGATGTCTTGATATACATTCACTGAAGCTTGGATGCTCAACAGCTAAAATGTCTAAATTAACTCATAAACACTGAAACTGCATGTGGTCATGGCCATAGAAAATAACCTTTTTGTCTCCTTCAGTATGCAAACTGCAGTCAAAAAATAAACTGTAATTTTTGTCTCTTTAAAATTTTGTGGTTTACTATCCTTCAAATTTACTATGTATTATCATATGATTCCATAATTAAGCAATTTCATAAATAACAAAAGGCAAATGGGCTAAGAGACCTCTGTAGACAAGGCCACTTTTCAGACATTAGTTGGGGGTGTTTTTTGACTTATTTAATTAAGATTACATCTGGATATTAAAAAATATCTTTAGCTTAAGAAGAAGCTCTATCTGTACAAAGGAAATGCATGTGTCATTCTGATTCCAGAAGTGGATTTGAGATTCCCTACTTAGAGCAATTTTTTTCTAAAATATTGTGGTTCTTTTTAAATAGTGTGAAAAATGACCTACTGAGTATCCTGGAAATAACATCTAAGGAGTAGTTTCAAAAGACTCAAAAATTTCACACTGAAAACCGATAAGCAAGTTTTCATTATAGTTTGCTATACTGGGTATCAATTTGCCAAGCTGTGCTTTTTAAAACACTTCCAAACGAACTTGGAAATAAAAACCTGTAATGGAAATACTGGCAAACCTTATACTATTTTGGTAGAACTTGAGTGCTATAATCACATCTGAGGCACATAAAATATGTGACATTTGTAATTCCTCGTGCAGGAAATGCACCGTGGTAACATAGTGTGATGGTTGTATCTTGCCACTGGAGAGATCGCTCCATCTCAAGAGTGTATGAAGCTCTGTGATTTCTTCCTGGCCGGTGGGTAAATAGAGGGCTTCATCTCTTTTTATAGTATTCAACTCCTCCTTAAATTATATGCCTGTCCACTGCATAACACCATGAAAACTTTGTTCATGGAAAAATAGTTATAAGCAGCATTATCTCATTAAGAATTAATGAATGCTATGACCATGTTAATGTTAAACCATTTCTTTATGAATGGCTGGCTGCCTGCTATTTGTGTGTTCAGTCAGATACAGTTTTTAATACAGGTAAATACTTTACTGGTTTTCTTGAAGTATGCTAAAAATCTATAGTTATACTCACTGCTTCTCAGAGAAAATGTAGCAGGAAACTTGGCACTGGCCTTAAAAAATGAGAGGATTTTTCACAATATCCTCTTTTTCATCAATGAAAATTAGATGGAAGGAAATAAAGAGTCATTAATCATACACTGAATTTTAAGTTATGAATGATCATAGAATCATT